GATAAGATAGAAGAAACATGTGGTGCTGGGTGGGTTCTTCTTTTTATTTTTTTTATTATTCTTTCTTCTTTTTCTTTCTTCTTTTTAATAAACTGTGCCATCAACCCTCCCTCTTCTTTATCGGTTAAAACTTACCTGACCATCACAATTTCGGTTTCACGGCTAACCGAACTCAAAACCGAAAACCGCCCGGTCGGTTGGCCGACCAAATATGTTGAGAGGAGAGAAGATGAAGAAGCAGATAAGGAGAGAAGAAGAAGACAAGATAGAAGAAACGTGTGGTGATGGGTTCTTCTTTTTATTTTTTCTTATTCTTTCTTCTTTTTAATAAATCGTGCCATCAACCCTTCCTCTTCTTTATCAGTTAAAACTTACCTGACCATCACAATTTCGGTTTCATGGCTAACGGAACTCAAAATCGAAAACCGCTCATCGATTGGCCGATTAACCTAACATTGTCCTCGGTCGGTGGTCAGCGTTTATTTGGGTGAGTTTCGGCTCACGAATAACCGAAATTTTCATTTTCAGTTAAATCGAAACCGATCGAGGGCCACCCCTAGCCATAGCCTATCAGAGTGTCTATTGCATGATAGTCTGATTCCAAATTACGAATAACAACTAGCTACATAAGAGGGTTCAACACTATCCAATTCTTCGTATAAAAAGTAGCCAATAAACCTAACTTTGTTGGTCGCATTTGGGCAAAGGATTTATCAAACTTATTTATGTCATGAGTAACCTTCATTTTCACGAACTTTTTTCCTACCCCATTGGTGGAAGTGTTCATCAGTTAGTAGAATATGTTACTGGAAAGTTACACATAAAATATGTATGAGTATTTTATTTCGTATCTAAATTAATTTTACATTTAATAATACGTTAATAGTGATAAATACATAAAATTAATTATTTTTAGAATAAATAAATATATAATAGTAAAGTTAAAAATTTAATTTATTAAATACGAATATTAAACGTGTTATACGAGGATTATACGTGTTTAGAACGGGAGTCATCAAATGAACGGGGGAAAATGAAACGATTTGACAATATTACGAATACAGAAGTTTTAAACGGATAAAATACGTATAATAACAGTATAATAACAGATACGTGTATTAAACATAGCCTACAAACGAGCGGTTTCACATTTTAATGGTGTTTCTCCTTCTACTAGATGCTTTGGCAGGCTACAAACATTGGCTAACTGCCGTCACCAAAATTTACAATTTCGTTTTTATACTTCCAAAATCCAAACCTTCACCATCACTTCACAAAATCTCAAGCAGTGTCAACAAACTTCGTCGTTTCATGATTTTCCAAGAACGGCAAATGGAAAATAAAAAAGACAAAGCACCAATATATCTCCTCGTAATTCAATGGGCTGCCAGTGGGCTTTCGATGGTTTGTATAACCGTTTTCAGCTCCTTTTGAACGCTGGGCCTCGATGGGTCAAAGACGAAATCATTCCAAACCGAGCCGGGCTCTTGAATTGGGCTCGGGTCACCGTAAAGCTCGTACACCGACTCCGCACTCGGGTTTAGGCGAGCCACATTGCTCAAGCACTTGAACTCCTCTGGGTCGATCAACATCTTATTGTCTCCATCTTTCCTCGCAATCAACTGCATATATATTCAACAATTTGGCCAATTTTCAACGTCAATTTCACCCATGTCCTTTTTAATTAAAGAAAAATGCATATCCTAATCTATACAATCAAACAGATGATGACGGTATATAATTACCTTTGGCGGGCCTCCTACGCTGTTTGTGCAATAGAGCCTGGCATTATCCACAAGCTGGCAGTAGTTTGGAAAGGCACTGGCAAAGCTCTTGTGCGACTTTAGCTGGGAATTCACCCTCACTGCCCTCCCAGTTATTATCGCTCTCCTGTTCAATCACAAAATAGAGAAATCATCAACCTTTCAATTCCACTGTCTAGCTATCAAAACATTCGATTTTTTTTGGTAATAAAATCGATAACAACACAAAACACATTTTAAAATACCTGATTCCTCGGACAACGGCGAGGTAGGCGTCGCATACGACTCCGACCATCTCAATTCTGTAGGGCCGCCTCGTCCTTGCCGACGGCGATTCGCCGTTCTCCTCCGTTACTTCCCGGCCGTCATCATCTACAGGTTCCCAGTAGTTTTCGATGACGGTGCCGTCGTCTTGGACATTGTAGCCGACCCCCATGCGGTACCGGCGTTTGTGGACGTTACGTGCCATCTCGATGGTTTGGTCCACGAATGGCTCCCACGACAGGGTGCCGTCCATTACCACGTCACGCCCTTCGTTAAGTGCCGTCACCAGCAGGGACGACGCCGCATCGGTTGACGATTGATGAACCTGTCAATCTAATAGATCAGTAAATTTTCAATTTAGACCACTAGTTTCCCTAAATTAAGATTGCTACCAGTTCAGAGGTCCGAAGCATGTCGTCGTGGTGGCCGAAGGAGTTGAGAGCTTTGTAAAGCACATCCGACTCCTTGAACGCATCAGCCTCCACTACGACGGCGTTTGCGGCTGCTCCTCCCCAAAACGACCTGCATCAATCATTAATTTAAGTTCGCGAATCCAGATTATTAGAATAGTAATAGCCTAGAGATCCGTTTTTTTTTATTACTCTTTGAGGATGTCCTTGATGACGGTGCTTTTGCCGGCGCCCATCCCGCCGCCCATGAGCAGCAGCACGGGGCTCCTCTCGCTGTAAGCCGCCGGCACCATGACGTCATTACTCCGGAGGGAATCGGTAATCCCGATGGCTTTCATCTCTTCAACTAGGGTGGAAATTACTCTCGTAACCTTCAGGCTCTTGCTCATTGACTCAAATCTTCTTTCCCTGCCGAATTAACAACAAAATTAATATTTTATAAATTGTTGCCACGTCATCATTGCCCCTCCTCGCTGGAAAAGAATGGCAAGTAGTACTCTACACACTACAGTCCAGACGTAACATCGCATTCGCCAACAGCTCATTAAATCACAATCCACCCCTAAATTAAAAATATATTTAATATTATTGACCATCTCATTCACAGCCCGGAAATCGAGAAGATAATAATCCTAATCATAGAGGGATGGATTTGGGGGGAAGTAGAAGCGGAGATTGAAGAGGGAGGCCGGTGTCTACCTTGTGGCAGCCATTATAGCGCTTTTGAGCTTCGGCTTCTTCTCCGATCGATCTTTCATCACCTAATCAACAAAAGAAGAAGGGGGGGGGGGGGGGGGGGGGGGGGGGGGGGAAATTGAACAAAGAATTAGTTCAACAAAATCGGAAAACAAAACTATAAGCTCTCCGAGAAATTTTGAAATCTACAGGGAGTAAATTGAATTTGGAAACCTACCTGAGAGACTATGGAAGGGGCGTGGTTCCAGTGGAAAGCAAAGTAGCTCAAAATGCATTTCTCGAGCTCCTCCACCAGCTTCCCGGACAGCAATTTCTCCAGCTCGCTGCCGCCTTCGGATCTTGCAAAATAATCGTAGATGTTGTCCTCGCAACCGTCGATTTTCCTCAGGTAGTCGTACGCCAGCTTGCACAGCTGCGGGCACTCGCTCGGATCTGAGAACCCTAGCTGCCTCGCCACGTAGTGCGAGAACCTCTCCACCTTTCTGCCGCCGCTGCCGGACTCCGTCCTTGCATCGTCCAGCCTCGGGACGACTCGCTTGCTGCTGGCTCTCGGCCTCCGCCGGTAGTACCCGGCGGCGGCCGCGGCGATGAACATCAGGGACGACGCCGCGAGTGCTCGTGTCAGGACGACCTTCGTGTTGCCGCCTTCTGCTGGTAGAAATAGTCAAACAAACAAAAAAATGTTAAACGATTCAGAAGAAAAGGTCAAACGGTGGGAATTGGGAGATCGCGCGGGCGGTGGTGTACCGTTGTTCATCGTCGGAGGAAAGGGGGTTCTGTGGTGAATGATTGGCGGAATTGATCAGCTGGGGAGCGTTAAAGTGTGGTGAGTAAAATTGTGTTCCTTTTGGAGAAGGGAGAAGTGCTGGTGAGGGAAAGCACAAGGACTGCTCTGCTCTCTGAATGTCTGCTATGGCTACGGCAACATTATTATATCGTTCCAGTCCAATAAAGCAAAGGACGATTTCCACGTAGGACTTCGCTCTCGTGAGTCTCGTCCGATTATTTAATTTTGCCGATACCCAAAATATCTGAAAAAGTACACTCCTAATGTGATAAACGTTTTAAAACTGAACTATGCATATACTAATGTCTAATGTACTACAAACGTTTTGAAACCTTTGAATTTGATCAATAGTTGAGAAAATAGTAAAACTAATTTTAACAGGAATTAATAATTATGTCTCCTAACCGGCCTCATATCAAATAAAGATGAGTCAATTGATATTCAAATTCAACTACCAACATTTTATATTATGGAGTATCATATTCATATTTGTATCACCAGCAATGAAAAGTGTGCTCCATCTAAGCTTGTAACGCAATTTTATTCCAGTTGCACTTCGTCCAGCACTCCAGCTTGTATTTTTCACGTATTTATATAGACAGTAAAGAAGGCTATTTTGTATTTTCAAGGAAATGTAGAGCGAGAAGACTATGACAACTTAACCACTTTGCCTTATATTTAATTTAATTTATAACAAGAACTACTCTATTTTGTTTGGCGTGGAGATAATGTTATTTATTCCAGCAATGCCATAAATGTTAGATAATGCGCAACCACCCTATAGCTATCATTTCTTTTTTAATTAAGTCTATCAACATTTTTTTCCTCAACACTAGGGCTGTCAGCCGTTCGATTTAACCGAACCGAAAACTGATTTCTCGGTTATCGGTTAAACCAAGACCACGCTGACAGTCATCGGCCACCGATCGACTAGAATGCTTCGGTTTGCCGCAGGCCGACCGACCAGTTAACGCTTAAATCGCCGTTAATCGACTATCCGCGAAAAAAATAATATTTATAATCATTAATTTATTATTTAATTACAAAAAAACCTAAAAAGGCTAAAAACCAAAAAAGAAAATGGAGATAGATAAAGACAGCCGAACTCTTCATCTCTCCTCATCTCCTCATCTCTCCACTCTCCTCCCGTCGCACCCAGCCACCCACCAATCCCGCTGCCGCAAACAAAAAGTCGGAGAAGGAGGAAGGACGGCGACTCGCGAAGAGGAAGGACGGCGGCGACTCTTCATCTTCTCCGACCTATCTTCCTTCCACTGGTCACTAATCCTCCCGCCGCATCCACCAATCCGTAGATCTAGAATCCAGATCCCCACCTTCTTTGTCGCCATCCCTGCTTGGCTGCATCTCCAGACCAGATCGAAGAGATCTGACTTCTTCCCTCCAACAATCGCCGCCGGAGTAGTATGGAAGAAGACATTGCCACCTGGGTTTTTTAGTTTCTGGGTTTTTGTTCTTGGGGGTGCGGCAAGGAAAGGAAGAGGAAGGGGGCGAGCGGCGGAGCAGAGGATCGGCGGACTGGAGATCCGTGGTTGCGGGGCGAGTGGAGGAGAGGAAGGGCGGAGTGGCGGGTTCGTTGGAAGGAGAGGACGGGCGTAGTGGCCGGGTCGGGGACGGGAGACGGCGGCGAAACGAATGGTTTTGGAGGGTGGAGGAGAGACAGAGTCGAAGGGAAGTGATATTAGGGTTAGCCGATTAGGTTTCGATTTTTGTGGGGGATTGTGTAAACTGGGCTAGAACGGTGTCGTTTGACAATGATTGGATGGAGTTCGGTTAGCTCAGTTAGCCGCGGTTAATTACCATCGGTTGCTCGGCTAGCCGAACAGTCACTCTTCCTTGCCGACCACCGACCGAGATTGTATTTCGTCAGTTTTCGGTTAGCCGATAATCGGTGATTATCGATTGAACCGACCGGTCAGCCGCTAACCGACAACCGAATTGCCACCCGTACTCAACACGTCTCTTCGTTTGTAAAACTTTCCTAATATAGTCCTTTTCATTAGTTTTTCATGAAATGTCATTAACGTGCATGAAAATGACTGAAAAGTCTTCTGTAAAATGTAAATGTGGCCCCTAAATTGTGAGTTTTTCCAACTAACCCGATTTTTTTTTTTAAGAAGCACCTAGACTTTAAATTTTTTCTTAATCACACTCATTTTTTATTAATTTGTTTTTAGATCATTGTTTACGGGGGCTAGATACTATAACAACACTCTTTTTGTTGTTATTGTAACAACACTAGTCTCCGACCAATAGAAAGCTAGGGTTGTGATGAATTTTTATTAGTTGAGTTGACCTAGTGTAAAATCAAAGCAGGGATATAATTGTCATTATGAAAAAATAAAAAAAAAATAAAAAAAAGTCTGCCCAAAATTTTGGTCGCCGGTCACCGGAATATGCTATTTTCTCATCGGAATATGCCACCGTCGCCGGAATATGCTTACCGGCGTGGAAATCTAGTCATCGAGACCGGAATTTATAATTATTTTCGTTAGTTGTTGTGACGAATATTTTCACCTAAAATGTGATAGATGTTTTTATTCTCAAATGATCACTAGACAAATTTCATTGAATTACAATGCATAATTGATTCGGTTGTAAAATAACTTCATTATGCAAATCGTAATCCATGTTTTTTACGTAATTTGTCATTGACTTAAGAAAACAATAAAAGTAGTATGCTTCAATTTTTTCCTTGGAACAAATGGGTCATCTACCGTAACTTTCACCAACTTTTCCCCCGATGAATGACATGGTTATATAAATCATTAGAAAAGACGTTTACTTTGGCGACAAACTCGGGTAAAATACCTCAGATACCACTAAAATATGAGAATAGGGGGAGTTATACCACTTAAGTACGAATAGGGCGTTGGGTACCACTAATATCAGTGGATTGTGCGCCCATTAAAAATTCCGTCCATCTACCGTTAACCACGAATAAAATACTATTTTTTGTAAAAAAATTAAAAAGTTCTGTCTGCCGGACTCCAAACCTCGTCGCCGCCCACCGCAGGCAATGGCCCTGCAAATTCTTCACCATCCATTCACCGGACTACAAAATTCCACTCTCCGCGAAAACAACTAGCGCCTCGCTCTTCCGATCCATTTCCTTTAGAGTGTTACCCATCTCATGCCTAAATCATCATTCTCCAACACCAAGCGACAACTCCACGAAGTCAGGCCTCCTTTCCTTGAAATTGAAGTTCATGGAGGATGGGGGCGACGTCGGCAGCATCATCGTCGTCGGAGATTTGGGAGAGGTTGTGCCAAAGTCCGACGTGGTGGTATTGAGGAAGGATATTTTTGTACTGGATAACAGATGGAGATGTTCACTACAAAAGTGGTGAGTTTTGGAGACGAAAAATGTTGTCTCCTAAACATGGGTTTTTCGTCTCCAAATCTTTAGAAGACGGCAAATTTCGTCCCCACGGGTGGTGCCTATAGGTTCCGTCCTCTATTCTTTTGGGAACAAAAAATGAAAGTCGTCCCCAGTATTAGGGTCACATAGTCGTCTCCAAAACTACAAAAATTCTAATTAATTTATTTTCTTTTTTCTAGGATTTTAGGACAATATGTCGTCCCCTATGCATTGTTTTTGGAGACCATAAGTGTCTCCTGTGAATTGTGTTATGGACAATAAGCCGTTCCTTATGAAGTATTTTGCAGACAATAAGTCCTCCCTTATGATGGGTTTTCGAGACATTACGCTTTGCTAAAAGCTATCTTTAAAGACACATGGTCATCCCTAATGCAGTGCTTTCGAGACAACAAGTCGTTCATAAAGAACTATCTTTCGAAACAACAAGTTGTTCCTTATGTGGTATTTTTCGAGACAGTCAGTAGTCTCTTAACAACTATTTTTTGGGACAACAAGTCATCTCCTACGAATTTTTTTTGTAGACAACAAGTTTATGTAGCTCATGGGATTCAATGTTGGCAATGAGAATTCCAATCTTTGGCCTATTTTTAATTGAAAGACCGAGGTAGCAATTCAATTGTCATTCATTTCTGGAGTAAAAAATTTACCCTTACATAAATAAAGTACAATATGGAAAATGCAACAACCATACACATAATGAAAAAGAAAAACAAATTGGACAAACATAAACGCAAAACTACGACAATGAAAACTAGCTAACAAGAGTGCTAGACCTCCGGTGGCTAATCACCATCGCTTCACTTGCTCTCTCTTTTCCTTATGTCGTGCCTACATCACCGCCATCACCAATTGCTAGTTCGAGAGATAAAAAAAGAGTCAGAAGCTTGAAAAAGATATATTTAACATATACCAAACAACAAATTCACCAGCTTGTACAATAGAAACTTACAATATACTAAATTATAATCCAAATAAAACTTAACGAAATATATTTGAATTCGTACCTTGGTAGGTTCAAAGGAAGGGAACGCTAATGACTACTCGATATGAGAAAGAGAAGCTAACTTGGAGCATGAAGGAGAGAAGGAAAAGGACCGACGACGTCTGCAATATGTAAGAAGGGTGAGGCCAACAATATTGAGAAGAGAAAGAAGTTAGAAAGAGGAGGGCATTTGGCCGACTGAAATTTAATGATGGAATAGAAGTAGGGTTTTGCAAGTTATATCAAGGGAATAAATGATTGAGATCTTATGGAAGATTACACAATGAAGATGAGGCCACAGTAAATGACTTGCAGATTGTTAGATAAACAAAAAAGTGAAACTACCTTTTTTGCAACTGATTAATCTATCTCTACGTCTCTTAATTGATTCATTTCACTTTCTCGCTAAAAAATGGCTAAGATCAGGTGACTAAGGGGAGGTCCCTTAGTCACATGACTAAGGGGAGGTCCCTTAGTCACATGACTAAGTCAATCTCCACCCTTGCACCTCATTAAAATTCAATGGCCCATATTAATCCAATTTAATAAAGGACAATATAGTAATTGCATGATTATTTAATTTATATAATAAACAAAGGAAAATAAATTTGGCCAGCGGTTGCCCCAGCAGGAAAAATTTTCCGGCGACTCCTCTAACCGGCGCGGTGGCGTCTCTGTCCACTTATATTAATGTTGCATTTATTTTGGGCATTGTCCCAGGAGAGAGAGAGATTTTGTACTGTTAGTATGCTTTGTATTGTTTGTCGATTTATTTTGTAATGTGTGTACGCTTTGTTATTTTGTAATGTTTGTCGGTTTTCTTTGTAATGTTTGTACGCTTTGTTATTTCGTAATGTTTGTCGATTTTTTTGTAATGTTTGTAAACTTTGTTATTTTTGTGTATCGTGTTTATCATTTTTGTCAACCATGTTTGTAATGTTTTTTATGTCTAAAAAACACCCGGGTTGACTTTGGGAAGGAGCCCCTCTATATAGGTATGGAGCCTCCAAAGTCAACCCGGGTGTTTTTTCCGTTCGTATGGATTGTCGGTATAGTTTGTCATTTTTGTCCACCATGTTTGTACTGTTTGTATGTCTAAAAAACACCCGGGTTGACTTTGGGAAGGAGCCCCTCTACATAGGGATGGAGCCTCCAAAGTCAACCCGGGTGTTTTTTCAGTTCGTATGGATTGTCGGTATAGTTTGTCATTTTTGTCCACCATGTTCGTACTGTTTGTATGTCTAAAAAACACCCGGTTTGACTTTGGGAAGGAGCCCCTCTATATAGGGATGGAGCCTCCAAAGTCAACCCGGTTTTTTTTCTTTTTGTATGGTTTGTATTGTTTGTCGGTCTAGTTTGTATTGTTTGTACAGTTCATACGTTTGTAATGTTTGTAAATCTGTTTGTATGTTTTGTCGCTCTAGTTTGTAGTGTTCGTATGTTTGTATGGTTTGTACTGATTCTAAGTCCGGTTTGTATACTTCGTAATTTTCCATAATACCCAAACTACCCCTGTCATTAATTAAATAGCCCTTCCCACTTTTTAACCATCAGATTGATGTGTCCAGATCTAAGGGCTGGGAGGGGCTTAGTCAAGTGACTAAGCACCCCCCTTAGTCACCGAATCCGCTCTCAGCTAAAAAATACTATAAATTAATGGATTCATTTTTAAAGGATCTATATTTATTTACTTAATTTTGGGATAATTTTATCTCAAAAAACAATAACAAGAAAATCTGCATAGATGACGCGGATTCTCAACAGTGCCAAACCTTTCTTCATTTAATTTAGCGTTAGAGTTCATTGGGGACACCTTGATAAATCCCAAATCAATTAAATATTTAATTCTCAATTATTGGAGACAATTTTATCAGTTTGTCGCTAAAATCAATTAAAGTGGTATTATCGGAGATGGAATAAAATGATTGTCCCCTATATTTGTCCCCTATGCTTATAAATTTTGTAGTGTCGGCTAGTTGACGGTGGTTCTAATCGCTTTCTGTTGTGGTCCTTTCTCAAGTTAAGCTAGCTCTAGTTTAACTGCACCACCAGATTTCATTGAGTTGAGGAGCTACCCTAGCTAGGTGGTATTAGAGTATGTGTAGTACGAGTAGTATTATGTTAGACTGTACTTCTATAATAACCCTAACACTAATACGGTAATTACCTAACTTCTACGACTCTGATTAGGAATATAGCACTGCTCAATTACATAACAGTACTCGTAGTATAACA